ATGGAAAATGCATAGGATATAACCTTATGGTATTAAATAGTACAGCAACATCAAAAATATTAACTTTTAGCCTTTTTCATGCTATAATAAATATGTACAGTATATACCCTCACCTAACTATCGAAACTCATCTATCCCTGTCCTCTGCTTCACACATTGCCTGTATTCTTTATTTCACTACCACTCCATAGTCTATTCAAACTCCATACCTGACCTAACTCCATACCTTATTCAGACTTCATAATCTTAGTCGTAGGCTATACCATACTCTATATCTTACTCAAATACAGTACCTTGCTTACACTTCATGCCTTCCCACAGTGTCTATTTTACTCATATTTTAGATCTTGACCATTATTCAAATGTATCAATTTTTCTTCGGTCTTCCTTAGTCAGTATCCAGCTTTCACATGCACATGAACATGAACCAGGCACACCTTCGTCCTCAAAGGGTCATCTTTGCTTTTTAAGTCTTTTGTAGCAGATTTGCTCAATTCAGTACATTGCTTGGTGTCTTCACTGCTGCTTCAGTGGGTGTTGACTGTGGATCCAAGTAGAATGAAACCCTTGCTAATTTCAAAATTTCTGCAGTTATCATGATGCTGCCTATTGGTCTAGTTGTGAAGATTTTTTTTTTTTTTTTTGTCTTGTTGAGGTGGAGTCTTTGATCTTCATCAGTAAGTGTTTCTAGTCCTCTTCACTTTCACCAATCAAGATTGTATCATAATTACGGTGTTGGCAAAGAATGCTGAGCATACCATGGACTACCGCAACAAATAATTGTGTCTTAAAAGAAGTACAGGCTGCGTGCTCCTTAGAAACATGACCAGAGTACACAAAAGGACTTCACTTTGCCGTTAGGAACATGTTATCAGGAACATGTTATCAGGGATGAACTGAGTGTGGTTTCTAGACACACAAATTGTTTGTGCCACAAAGTAGGGAAGAAATCATGTGTGCTTTTTTGCCCTGTTTCATCTAGTTGAAATTTCTCTTGAAGCTATCATGAAGTTGTTGTTGTTGTTGATAAAGAAGAAAATCATGCTTGATAAAGCAAAGGGTCAGTGTAAAAGAGGCAGATCCTTTAACAATATGTATTGACACAAACATAGCAATTATGAGGATGGGACAGGACCCTGCAGTGTTTCGTTCTGTTGTACATAGGGTCACTATGAGTCTCAACTGATTCAACGGCACTTCATATCAACAACATATCTTACCCATACTCCATATCTTTATGCTCTCTTTATTGCTTACTCATACATGCTATTTTATTCATACTACCTGCTTTACCCCATCTTACACATATTCCAAATACTTTCCTATGTTCCATACTTCACTCTCACTCTATACCTTACCCATATACCACACTTTACTACATCCAATACCTTACCCAACCTGCTACCTGACTCATACTCCACACTTTACTTATACTTCGTATCTTACTCATATATTTTATCTTACTGACACTCTGTCCTTTACTTTGTCACATTCCTGAAAATTATCCCATTCCTTCATTATTTTTCTTTTGATTATTCTAAGGATATTATCATTTACCAGTTAGAATCATATAACAGTTGTGCAAAATGAATGCCAAATCAAACTTTTTGTTATTTTATTCTACTGATACCAAGTCTCACTTCGTCCAGTGGAACCACTTGGGTCAATATTGTCATCATTTTCTACCTTGGAAATGTTCAGTGGGAAAATATGAGGGATGAACTGAGTGTGATTTCTAGACACACAAATTGTTTGTGCCACAAAGTAGGGAAGAAATCATGTGTGCTTTTTTGCCCTGTTTCATCTAGTTGAAATTTCTCTTGAAGCTATCATAAAGTTGTTGTTGTTGTTGTTAAGTGCCATCAAGTCAATTCCGACCCATAGCAACCCTGTGTGGGGTTTCCAAGGAGCAGCTGCTGAGCTTGAACCACTAACCTTGCAGTTTCAAACGACTATGCAATCTGACACATTAGCCCACAGCGCCACACCAGGACTTCTCCTTAATTCCTGAAAGAATGGCACCAGACCATTTGAGATGGATTATCTAACTTCCTCTAAGTATTTCCTGCAGAAAAGCAAAATTAGAACAATTGAAGCATATGCCCCTATGGGATATATTTTTCAATATATTTCAACTTTTACTATATGTCTAACCTGATACTTTTTTGCTGCAATTAAATTAATGTTCTTTTGCCATAGTAGGCGCACTCTTCAATGAAAAGATAAGCTATAATCTATCACCAAAAAATTGGATTTATGTATTCAAAGACAATTATTTCAGGGTGTCCCAGAACTTTGATGTTTATTGATTTTAGTTGTAGAAAAACTAATTTTATTTAATTTTTAAATTAAAATCTCAGCATTAACAGTATTACAGTTTGCGAGTGTGTACAGTTTAGAGTGGAAGGATGGATAGTTGTGGAGAATATTTGGACTGAAATGTATTTTAGGAGCATATACTATGTAGAAGCCTATTCATGTAACATTCCCTTGTAGTCATATAACAATTTCAATCTTTATTCAAGCCCAACACCCCACGTCATCCCCAGTTCCCCCAGCCAGTACACTGTTTATACCAACTTGATCAGGGAGTCTGTCAATGGCATTTATATATTTTATAATTGCATTCCAGGGATATGATGAACCTTGGAGTAATGTACTGTACTTGGCAGCAACTGCCTAAGCTTTTGGGCACATATGCTTCAAATCTGAGAATATTATAGATATATATAGGAATCTTTGTAGAGATCTCTGAGGCAAGCTGGTATTTAACACAAAAGCAAACCCATTTTGTGCTAAAGCACTTTCCATTAGGCAGTTTGGCGGCTGTTCTATGAGGCAGACTCACTGTGCTCGTCGGACACATTGCGATTAAATGCTGCTTTGTATTCTTCCAAAGATGGGAACAATAAGGACGTTTGTCAAAGGAAAAACTGCAGCAAACGATTTCATGGTGAACATCTGTACTCTGCGGTTCATTGTTTGCAAGAGTTTATTGACTATAATTTTGATGCATATAGGTTTTAAAGAGTATAAACTGCATTTATCTTGGACGCCTATCATTTATTTGAGTCTTGGCTTATTTATTTCCATTTTGGTGGGCACTTTATTTTGGGACTCTGAAGAGATGAAAGAAAAGATGTTTTTGAAAAAGGAAGTTTTAGTCAGCTCTGCAAAATTGATGAGGAAAGACAATGTTTTCACAAAAGGGATTGAGCAATTGAATTGAAAAATGTAGCACAAAGCATATTATATCTTTATGATACTTTTCAGCCATAGAGATCTCACTCAATTTATAAACATTCACCTTCAAACTCTATGCCTATCATACCACATAATGACATTTCTAGAGTGAACTCTTATTGTTGTTGTTAAGTGCCATCATCTTGGTTCTGACACATAGCGACCCTGTATAGCGTTTCCTAGGAATTACCAGTAGGTTTGAACCACTGAACTTGTGGTTAGCAGTCCAGTGCTTATCCTAGAGCGCCACAGCTTTTAATTAGCAAGGTAATTTAGGGGCAGTGGAGTCAGAGACTAATTAATGACTTTTTGACTATGATGTTGAATTAAGTTGCTTTCTTTCATATTATGAATGGATGAGCTACTGTTTGAAGATATGCACTTTCTTTTTTTTTTTTTGCATTTCATAGAGAAATGCAAAAGACAAGCCTACCCAAGATGCTAAATCTGGGTAGCCTTATCGGGTCATTACTAGGCAATTGATGTGTTGTTGTTAAGTGTCACTGAGTTAGTTAAGACTCTTAGCAACCCTATATAAGGTTTCTGAGGTCATAGATCTTTGCAAGAGCAGAAAGCATCTTCTTTCTCCCAAACCATGGCTGGTGGGTTTGAATCACTGATCTTGCGGTTCACACTCCAGTGCTTATCCAACAGAGCCATTATGCTTCCAGGTAACTAATGTGGTCCTGATTTGTTGTCTATTGGCATACCTATGCTACAATCCTGATGCAGCACTGTGGGATAATGTACTTGACCGCAAGATCAGTTTGAACCATAAGGTTGGAGGTTCAAATTCACTAGCCGTTCCTGTGAAACTCTACTCAGGGTTGTTATGAGTTGGAACTGACTTAATGGCACTTAACAACAATCGGCTACCATATAATGTACAAAAGCAAAACCCAAGAAATCCATTCTCATTAAGTCAATTCCAACTCATGGCAACCTTATGTGTTAGAGTATAACTGCCCCGGAGGGTTTTCTTGACCATAATCTTTATAGAAGGTCTTCAGGCCTTCCTCTCTTTGACAGTGCTGTTGGTTAGATTTGATTAGGTTTGATCAACTAACAGTTATTGCTCTTGTTAAGTGCTGTTGACTTGGTTCTGACTCATAGTGACCCTATATAGAATGTCCAAGAAGTGCCTAGTGGCTTGCAGTCCAGGTCTTATCCTACAAAACCATATTAAGTTAGTAGTCAAGTGTAAACCTTTTGCAGACCTACACAAACTACAGCTCCATTAAACAGATGAGAGATAGGCCTTAGAAACTGACCACCTAAAGATATAATAATAGAATTTCTTTCTTTATAGCCATTTTATAATAAAATAGTCAATACAGAGTAGTAACTAAGAATGCCAACTTCAAAATATGACAGATTAGAACTATAATCCCTCAGCACCAAGTCATTTAATCTTTTATGAGTTTGTTTCCTAATTTCTAGAATGATGTCATATTTTATAGAATTCTTGTTAGTTAGTATATTATGTTGTATATAAGAAAAGTACAATGCTGTATAGAATAAACTTTCAATATATACTAGTAGTTGTTATTATATTCTGTCTTGGTTTATTTTACTAAAACACTTGTCTAAGAAAAGCCTGATGGATTAGGTAACAGCTTTATATATTTCTTTCCAGTTTAGTTTATCATCCATCCATCTTTCTACAGAGAAGACTTGAAGAAATTGCATTTGAAAAGATGATTAAAATCTGTTTTTGTGTGTGTTTACTTGTTTTGTGGATGTGTGTTTGTTTGTAGGGTGTACCCTGGCAGAAACTCAAGATGGTTATGTGAATTTCTCCAATTTGACTGTCTTGATCTCTGGATCAAACTGGAACTTCATTTTCACTGTCACTTCTCCTCCAGGTAATTTCAGCACAGGGTGTTATTTTGTTTATTATCTGCTTCCCATGAAAATGTAAAATGTTTTGTGGATAGAAACATCTCAGAAGCACTTGTGATTTTGATTTGGGTTTGGTGATCACATTTACTATATGACTACTTCCTTCTAGTTTTTACTTCAAACTTGTAGACTAAGGAGTCGTCTTACAATGTTTTTAGTTTTTCTTAGTGTCATTCATTAAATTATTTTTCATAATTTACAGTGAGATGGGGCTCTGCTAGAAGGAGATTTACAACAGTTTAAAGTTATAAAAAAGTAGATGGAGAATGAAATAAAATGAAAATAGTAAGAACCATGAACTTCTGTAATCCCTCATAGACAGCCTATTGATTAACAGTATAGACCCTGTGAATTAATTAATGCTGTGGATTAATGCACTGGACTGTCGAGTTGGTTTGAACCACAAGGTCTGCAGTTTAAGTTCACCAGTTGCTCCTCAGAAACCCTATTCAGGGTCACTATAGGTCGATGACACTTAACAACAACAACAACAGACCCTGAGAGTAACTTCTTGTTTCCAAGTGTGTCTATTTCCAGAGTTCGAATTCCTTAGGAAAGTAGCTCTCATTCACACTTGTGGGACAACTAGTGAATTTTCTTAATTCTAACAGACTTCAATACAATGGGCATAACAAGCAGGGAGCCTGTAATCATTTTCACTTATCATCCTCTCCCTAGTATCTTAGAGAAATGACCAAATCATTATTCCTACTATTAAAATACTCTGTAGAAATTGAGGAACTGAGAAGCTAAGTAAACCTGACCAAGCTCCGTATTTTCCAGACCTATGTGGTGCTGTAGGATAAGCACTGTAGGATAAGCTAACAACAAGGTTGGTGGTTCTTACCCACCAATTGCTCCTCTGAAACCCAATAGAATGTCATGATTCAGAACCAACTCTAGTAGACTTAACAACACAAATGTATATATGTAAGGAGCTCTGGTAGCGTAGTGATTATGAATTGGGCTGCTAATCTCACCTTTAGTTCGAAACTACCAGCTGTTCTGTGGGAGAAAGATGAGGCTTTCTGCTCCCGTAAAGATTTACAGCCTTGTAAATCCTGTACTGGTATGGTGCTGTGGGTTACTGCGCCAGACTGCAAAGCAGCTCGAACTGCATGGTTGGCAGTTCAAGCTCACCAGCTGTTCCTTGGAAACTCTCTATAGGGTCGCTATGGGTCAGAATCAACGGCACTTAAAAAAAAATTATATATATATATATATATATATATATATATATATATATATATATATAATTTTTTTTCTGTTCCTAAAAATGTTTGAGAGCCAATGTTTTCCACCTGGAGGTATAGATTATTTCTCTAGGTTTATAAATGGGTCTCCCTGACTTCAGCCTCTCATCACACCTCCATGAGTTGCTCTTCTGTATCCCATTGTGGTTCAGGTCACTTCTCAGCTCAGAAACCTCCCTTCTACACCTCATTGCCCTCAGAATATGTGCAGTCAAGGGTCTTTTGCCTGACATTGAATGCTCACCAAATTTGTCTCAAATGCTTGCCACCCTTAATCCTTGTGACTCTTCAGCATTGATTTCCTAAATAAAAATTAATATTTGCTCCTTTTCATGGCACTTGTCCAGTCTTAAAAACCCTATGAAGATATTCCCTCCTCTGGGATGTGTTCAGTGGAAAATAACCTTCTAGAGCAATGTATTTGCATTGTTATGCTGATGTGTATCATATTTTGACTTGTATTACAAATATTTGTATCTCTATCTTCATTTACTACTTTGAAGATCTTTTAAGGATAGGACCAGTAACCTATCTGTTTATTTAAAAAAAGAAAAAAAAAAAAAGCACTGAACAATTATTGCAAAATGAATAAAGGAATGAGGACATTTTATTTTTCATTCTCGGAAGTTCAAATAAAATTCATTGTCTCTGGGCTAGATTGAGTTTATTCAGATGCTCATAGAAAACAACTAATTGATAACAAGCCAGCAATTGTGACTCAAGTAAAAGATGTACATTTGGGAGAACACTTTCTAGCTAATTTTGTTATAATAGTTGTGGCGTTGAGTCAGCCAGAAGTGAAGAGATTAAAGTTCTGAATTTGACTTTGAACCAAACTGTCTGGTTCATTCCAAGAAAAGCACAGCAAAAAAAAAAAAAAAAATGATCTTTCTATATTTTAAATAGGATACATATTTTAGAGCATGTAGCTTTTTACACATTCTGCAACAGAGAGCTTTTTTTTTTTTTTTCTCTTTTTCTAATTTGTGGAATGCAAGAAAGAAGGAACATTTACATTGCTGGAGGAGGGTAAGCAGTTCATGGTATTGTGGTTGTTAACTGCCATCAATCAGTTCCAACTCACAGCAACCCTATATAGGGTTTCTGAGGCTATAAATCTTGTGTGGGATCAAAAGCCTCATCTTTCTCCTGAAGAGAAGCTGGTGGGTTTGAACCACTGACCTTGTGGTTCAAAGTCCTGAACTTATAGTACAGAGCCACCACACTCATACTATTAGTTATGAATAAAATAAGAAAATTGGGTAACTCCTCCCTTAATTGTGGATGATCTGGACAGAGTGATTATATGTTGTTGTCAAAATCTTACAGTTTTTCAGAAATATAAATCTCAGTTTTATTATTGCTTTGATTATTCAGTCATTTAATTTAGTAAATTTTGATGCTATAACAGTGTCTGCTATATGCCAGACACTGGTATAAATATAAGGAGCCCTGGGGGCACAATGATTAAGTACTCCACTGCTAACCAGAAGGTAAGCAATTTGAGCCCATGAGCTAGTCTATGGGAGAAAGACCTGATGACCGGTTCCTATGGATTACAGCCTAGGAAACCCAATGGGGCAGTTCTAGTTTATCCTGTTGGGTCATGATGAGTCAGAATCAACTCGAAGGCAGACAAAAAAACAACAATAATTCTAAATGTATTTTATGTATTAGCATATTATTAATTCACATATTATTAAGAGATTATTTTTGGAAATTTCTTTTTTCCAGGCGTCAAGTTTACAGCACGATCCAGGTCATTTGCTGTCTTGCCTGTGATTAAATCCGAGAGGCTGACCATCGTCCTGGCTGCTTCTCTGGGCTCTGCAGTCTCCTGGCTGGCTCTGTGCTGTCTAGTGTGCTGCTGGTTTAAGAAGAGCAAAAGCAGAAGTACATGGTTTTGTCATGTTATTTTTTTAAGTTAAAACATTTGAAAAAAGTCCATCATATATAATAAATTAAGGATTCTTTCTCTTCCCCAGTGAGAAATTTCTATAACTCTGCAACATACAAACCACATAGAGTCAATATTTCCAGCCCCTATAGTAGTGTGACAAGTCTTACCTGATTTAAAATAATATTAGTAATAATAATGTACACTTATGTTGATTGAGTGCTCACTGTGGGTCAGATTCTAAGTACTTGAGTTTAGTCATGTCCCACAGCAAAATTATAAGGTAGGTACTAAATAGTATGTCTCTGTTAAGAGTGTGGGAAGGAGGCACAGAAAGGTTAAGTAGCATGCTAAGGTCAAATGGCCATGAAGAAGCCAGGTAGTATGGCCCTAGATCCCACTGTCTGAAACCCTCTGCTTCACTAGGAGCTTAGTGAACCCTCTGTAAGGTAAATGAAGAGTCGGGGGGAATGTCCTCTTGTACTCTAAGTGTACTTAGTGTTGTTTCTCAAGGGGCATAGAAAGTAAGAATGTGCTTGATCATTTTCCAAGAAACAGCAGATTATCTTCTAGGTTTCAGACAAAGAGAGCTATTGTGGGAAAGAAGTTGTGTCAAAGAGACTTCTTTATATCACTATATTGTTTTTAGAGTGGAAGAGATAAACAGATCCAACATGGGCAAATTTGTTTCTTCCACAAAGCAGCTGGTGCATTCGAACAGCCATCCTGTCAGTTAGCAGCTGAGCACTTAACCATTGAACCACCAGGGCTTGTTGCCTGTACCTGCTACTTAATTTTCTTAAAAATGAACCTATACACTTAAATGTAAGTGGTTTTGATTTTACTCTTAAATAATGTTGTTGTTAAATGACGTGGAGTCTGTTCCTACTCATAACAGCCCTATGTAGGGTTTCCACTGAGTGGCTGGTGTAGTTGAACTGCTGCCCTTGCGGTTATCAGGCCAGTTTTTATCCTACAGTAGCACACCAGGACTTGTCTTAAATAATCAAGTTACTTTCTATGTAGAAGATCATTGATAAAGGACACCTGCAGTTCCTTAGTAATCATTTGAGCACTTTTCTGAGAGGAAGCCAACCACTGTTCACCCTTGGGAAGTCAGTTCCAATCCTAAGCCTCAGAAATCAGACTGGGATAACTTGTGGCTAGAAAGAGACTCTGTTGCTCTTCTTCCTTTACTTTAGGGTCTTTGGGCTACAAATACCAACTTATATCAACCCTATCAGGAACTAGGAGTAGTATTTCCAGTGTTGCCTATTGCTTTGCTGATACGATCCTTCAGGGTGTTAGAAAAATGTGAGGGTCTCATACTGTTAAACACACAATGTTCACACTTATATGTGAAGGAAAGAGAAGCTGCATGTAAGTTTGAGGTTTGGTCTCTGGGTTCCAGTGATCATATAAATCTTGTTTGATCCATCAGAGGGTCATTCAGCAGGTGGTAGGATTATATACTCTGGAAGAGGATCTAGCTGCAGACATGAGAATAATATCCATGAAACAGAGAACAAGAAAGAGTCAATGATCTCACCCCTGCCTCTACCTCTGACCCCTTTTGATGATACCCTAAGGTCAGTGGGAGTCAGAGAAGGGAGGGGTCAAGAGGGCTGCAGTATTTGGAAAGGAAATCTTTCTGATTGTGAAAGAATAACATGTTTGTTCAGAAAATTTGTATTTTTGTCTGTGACATTCTCTATTTATTGAATTTGTTTTCATTTTGTTTTGTTTTAAATCTACTGTAGTCAAGTGGTTCTTACACAGCCGCTGATAACCCTGTCCCCAGATTCCTTAATTCTGAATGAGGTAGAATGGCAACTCTATGTTCTTTCTTCCAGATTCCTTAATTCTGAATGAGGGAAAATGACAACTCTATGTTCTTTCTTGACTTTGGATGAGCATTTTGTCTTGCTAGACTTCAGATTATATAAAAGGAAAATAGGAGGTTGGGACAATCAGTTCTCCAATTTCCATTATAGTTCTAATATTCATGATGTTGTGGCCACATATGAGCCATGTGGCAAGTTTTTTTCCAGACTTAAAGGGTGATATAGGGTATCCGGGGTTCCACTGGTGTTTATCCGACCAGTATGCCCGAACTATTTTTATAATTTAGATTTTTGTTAAATATTTTTCTCCAACTCTGTTCAGGATTTTCTAATGTAATCCCTTTCAGAGCAGTAGGTAATAGTAACTGGACACTATCCAGATATTCTGATCTCAGGATCCTAGAGACTGATGTTCACATGGTCCATGTGTCTTCAATTCTCTTTATTCTTCTTTCCTCTGCAAAATAGTTGTACCTTAGATGGCCACTTACAAGCTTTAAAGACCCCAGTTGCTACTTATCAAAGTAAGATGTTGAACATTGTGTTCTTGGACTATTTTACGCCAATTGACCTTTATTGGATGCACACTCTTGTTTTAAAAGTTAAATCGTGAAGGTGGGGCCTGAGACAAGAAGACAGAGTAAACGGATGCACTGAGTTGTCCCTGTTCCACAAAGATGTGGGAGACAGAGTGGAACAGATACAGGTGATGATCCTGGAACCCTGAGCATCAGAGGATAGGACCTAGTGGTAGATGGATGCTGACTGGGAGAGGAAGCAGAATAGGAGCAGTGATAGGGAAGAAAAACAGGTAGACAGTGAGCTGATGTGGAGTAAAACAGTCATTTTGAGCTTTTGCCAGCAGCTGGTGGGCACAGGACAAGGCTAGAAGCTCACAGCAAGAAGTTACAGTTCTCCTTTTTTCCCATGCCCCTGAGTAGATGGAGACATGGCTGGTCTCCACCCTGGCAAACCCAAAGGCCAGTGGGACCCCTCCTGCACAATTTCTGCTTTGCCTGGGGTCACGTGCCTGCAATAATGCCTCTGTGTAAACCTGCCTTGAACCACTTGAACACAAACTATGTGTTCACACTCATGGTCTCTACATACCCACAAGATCAGTGATGAGTGCTTGAGAGCACACCAATTTACAATCATCAGCTAAATATAAATTTGACACCACAATGTCTCAGCGAAAACAAACAATTTCAGCTTAAACAAAGAAAGCAGACAGAGTGCCTCAAACAAGTGATTAAAATACAGGGCTAAAAAAAATGTAACACCTGAAATGGTATTGGAACTACCTGATAAGGACTTCAAAAGAATGCTAAATAGGCTACCTAAACAGACTGAGAGAATGATTGAGAAAACTACAGATGAAATCAAGGAAAACATAGACAAAACTACAGTAAAAATCAGGAAACCACTTGACATATAATTGAAAAAATGGGAGACAAACAAAATCAGCAATTAGAAAGCCAGAAGATAAACACTAAGACTTCAGAAAGGAAAGGGCAAAGAATAGAAAGGAATCAATGGAAACAAGAATTACTGAGCTTGAAGAATCAGTCATCTACTAGGGGAACAATCAGAAAAAAAGAACGAAAAAATTTGTGAAGAAGGCCTAAGATTTATGTGAGACACTATCATGAGGAATAACTTACTTGTGATGTTGTTGTTGCTGTTGTTAAGTGCCTTCGAGTCGGTTCCGACCCATAGCGACCCTGTACAGGGTTTCCGAGGGTGTAAATCTTTACGGGAGTAGAAAGCCTCATCTTTCTCCCACGGAGCAGCTGGTAGTTTCGAACCACTGACCTTAAGGTTCGCAGCCCGATTCGTAATGTGATAGGAAATCCAAAACAGGAACAGACAAAAACAAAAACAAAGAAACCAATGGAGAATATTGTCCAAGAGTTGTTGGAATAAAACTTCCCTAACATCATGAAAAATGAGAAGATAGCCATTCAAGAAGTTGAACAAACTCCAAACAGGATAGACCTCAAAAGTAAAACACTAAAACATAGTATAATCAAACTTTTCAAAACCAAAGGCAAGGAAAGAATCCTGATAGCAGCACAGAAAAAATGAAGATACCTACAAAGCAGAAAGTGTAAGACTGAACTTTAATTTCTCAGCAGAAATCATACAGGCAATAATACAGTGGAATGACATATATAAAACTCTGAAAGAAAAATGTAGTCAACCAAGAATCATATATCCAACAAAACTGTCCACCAAACATGAGGTGAAATTAAGTCATTTTCGTACAAACAGACATTAAAAGAGTTTGTAGAAACAAGACCAACCTTACAAAAAAAAAATAGTAAAAGGAATTGTTTGGAACAGAGAACCAACAACAACAGACAACAACATGTGACTAACATACATGACAGTATCACCTGGACTCAAGCTTGATATAGGAGTATGCAAAGTAAAACAGAACTGTAAGACTGAAAAGAGAGAAGCAGAGATACAGTTGCAACAACAACAAAAATATAAAGTAAAAGGAGAGAATAATGTAGTTACAGAACTTTCAAATGAAGAGGCAATCAGACCTATTTTAAGATAACTATGTAAATAAGTAATAAATACCTAACAATGACCCTAAAAACTAGACTAAGACTTATTCCCAGCCCTGGCCCAACCCTTACCCCTAACACTAACTCTAGTCCTAACCATAACTGTAATAATAAATGAAGTACTTGAACTTCTGGTGTGGCATTGTGGGATCAGCACTGTAACGGGAACCAAAAGTTCAGCAGTTCAAACTCATCATGTGCTGTTGGAAACGGTATATGGTGTTGCTATGAGTACAACCCATCCAACATCACATAATAACAACAACAGGTCTAGCCAAGACCTAGTCACAGTCCCAACCCTAACCCTTACTCCTATCCACCCCTCCCAAAAAATTAAATAGTAAAAGAATTGTAGGAGAATTTATTAAGATAAATGTATAGTAGTCGCTTTTATTTTCTTCTTTATATCTTTCTATATGCTTCAAATTTCTAAAATTAGCATGTATCACTTTAGAATCAGAATAATTTTACTTGTATTTGATATGAATAATGTTGTTCCATGATTTCTGCGTTCATTTTTTTTTTTTTTTTTTTTTGCATAAGAAGACGAGTGAGTGCCTCTATTGCTGTGACTGGAGTTCAGACGATGTCAGTTTGTATTTGGTCAATTCCTGGAACATTGCATTTTGCCAATGACTTTAGTACAGCTTGAACTTCTTCCTTCAGTGT